CCCCCCCACCACCACCTCCACCTCTCCCGGCCAGCCCTGCTCTCCTCCACACACCTCTCTCCCCATTTGAGATCAAGTGTGTCCGGTATTTTTTTTAAGCCACCTGGTAACCCTGCCTGCTAGCCCAGGAGATTTACAAGGCGCTGAAAAGTTCAGCCCTAGTAAGTAGGACAGGAGTATGGACACTCGGCCACTGGGGGATACAAACCCACCACCTCCACCTCTCCCGGCCAGCCCTGCTCTCCTCCACACACCTCTCTCCCCATTTGAGATCAAGTGTGTCCGGTATTTTTTTTAAGCCACCTGGTAACCCTGCCTGCTAGCCCAGGAGATTTACAAGGCGCTGAAAAGTTCAGCCCTAGTAAGTAGGACAGGAGTATGGACACTCGGCCACTGGGGGATACAAACCTGGATATTCTGCTTAAGTTGAACTTATTGATACCATATCCTCTTCCACTATTTAGTTTTGCTGCCAAAAGCAGAACGTGACATTAAATGGATAGTAACTAATTAATTGTTAGAGGCTATGTCTAGAAAAACTCAGCCAGATCCAGGGAATGCATCTGCTCTTCTGCTTTTTTTTTTTTTTTTTTGTGGAAGAGCAGACACACTCTCTTGGAAGCTCTGTCTTCTTCCTCCCACAAGGAAGAAAGGTTCTTCCGAAAGAGGGTTTTTCCAAAATTTGTCCCAGTGTAGACGAGCCAAATTTTGGAAAAGCCTCTTCTGAAAAAGCTATCGGAAAAAGGTATGCAAATTGCTAAGCACAATTTGCATACCTTTTTCCAATAAAGACCCATAGTACAGACATAGCCGGAATTCTATCCAGCTATAAGCTAGCATGTAAAATTGTGGTTAAGTCTCTGCCGTTAATTCAGATTTGTTATTCTAGTTTAATACTTTACTCCATGGGCCAGCAGAAATCAGGAGAGTAGTGGGAGAAACTAACTTATTCCCTAGAGGTAAAAAGGGCCTTCCATTCACTTTAGCAATACCTCTAGCTGCTGTTAGAATGATCCGAAGAGCTCCAAAGGCAGCCATCCAACCTTCCAGAGGGAACATTGCCACAGCACAATATATCAGACTTATGGAAAAAAATTAAACTGAGAACAATTATGGAATTCTTGTGTCTTCCAAGGGGAAAAGCAAAACAGAAAATAATCAGCATTGTGCATATTCAAAATGTGACATGGCACAGTTGCTATTTATGTTTTTTAATCATGCTACATTTTATATGGGAGCCCCTTATACACGTTCATAAATTTATCCTTCTTGCAGCCCTATGACTGATTCAAGAGAGAAGCATTGCTATCTCTGCTAGAAAATAGAATAGAAGAGTGGCTGAGCAATCACATAACCATTCAAGAAGTATAAAAGTCTCAGAGGGGTAGCCATGTTAGTCTGTAACTTTAAAGAAACAACAAGTAGTCCTGTGGCACCTTAGAGACTAACACACACACACACACACACACACACACACACACACACACACACACACACACTATCATGAGCCTTCGTGGGCAGAACCCACTTCCTCATATGAGCAGAGTCTGTTTTGCCCATGAAAGCTCATGATACTACATGAGCTTTCATGGGCAAAACAGACTCTGCTCACTGGAGGAAGTGGGTTCTGCCCACGAAGGCTCATGATAGTGTGTGTGTGTGTGTGTGTTAGTCTCTAAGGTGCCACAGGACTACTTTTTGTTTCATGTAAGAAGACTCTGAGGCTATGTCTACACCCCTTCTTGCGCAAGAAAACCCTTCTTGCGCAATGCCAGTATTCCTGAAAATAATTGGCATAACAGCATTGCGCAAGAGGTTTTTTCTTCCACAAGAAGGGGCAGTGTAGACAGCTCCTTCTGGCGCAAGAGCCTTTTCTGCAAAAATGGCAGCTCATTAGGTATGCAAATGAGGCTTGGCGATATTCCATGCTTAGCCTCATTTTCATATTTCTCACGCAAGAAGCCATGAGCATAGACATAGCCTGACAGAGCTGAAATAGATCCGCTGTATTCCAGTACAGGAGGCTACTTATAGCATTAGAAACATACAATGTGCCATTTTAGAGCCAGTCGTTCATTTCATCTAACCCTTGTCCAGCCTTCAGCACTAGCACATACCACATATTTAAAGGAAAGTTAAAAACTGAACCATGGTATATCTTGCCAATTATTCCTCTTTGGAGCCATGGAAAATGAAATCCAACTTCAGGTTTTCCGTTAAGGGTTTCTAACCTGTATTTATGAGGTGTGTGTGTTGTGGTTAGGTGTGTAGACCCCCACCCAGTATTCAAGAGGGACAGAATTAGTACTCTAGCACTGAGCAGGCAGAGAACACACATCTCTATCTTGTGCATCAGTGAAAACCAGCCATGAGAAGTTCAGGTGGATTCCACTGGAGACAGGGAGAGGTTCTAGGAGGGAAAAAAGCACACAGCGGCTATGTCTAGACTGTGAAGAAAAATTGGGAAAAGATATGCAAATTGCAAACAGAAAATAATCAGCATTGTGTATATTCAAAATGTGACACGGCACAGTAGCTATTTATGTTTTTTAATCATGCTACTTTTTATATGTGAGCCCGCATGTATATTTTTCTGCTTTTTCTTTGGAAAAGGCTTTTCCAAAATTTGGCCCATCTACATGGGGCCAAATTTCAGAAAAACCTCCTCTTTCAGGACATCCCTTCTTCCTTATACAATGAGGATGCTGAAAGAACACATCCTTTTTTTGGAAACTGTTCCGAAGAAGTGGACATGTTCCTTGGACATGGCATAGGTTTTCCGGGATACCTTCGGTATCCCAGAACACCTCCACAGTGTAGACAGACAGAGTTTGGACAAAGAAAACCAGCTTGCTGAGACAAAAAGTGACTCAGAAGCCTAACATGTCCAGCTGAAGTTGCACCTAAGTGGCTGAAGGCAAGTCATGCATATACAGACCAGAAACCCCTAAGCAAAAGCCTTGGATTGGATTTAATTTTCCATGGCTCTGAAGAGGAATAGTGGGCAAGGTACATTACAATTCGTTTTTTATTTTAATTTTCCTTTGAAATATGTGGCACTTGCCAGTGCTGGGGGCAGGATAAAGGTTAGCTGAATGAATGGCCTCCTCTAATGGGGCATATCATATGTTTTTAGTGCCATGCATAGCCTCACAGTAAGGAAGTCTTGGGACATGTCTACACAAGGAAATTGTACTTTTTAAACCTAAAGTGTGCTTTTAAATCTTTGTCAAACTCACGCAAAAGGCTGTATGGACACACTTCTTTTGGTTTAAACTAGTTTTATTTAGATTCTTTAACCCCAAATAAGAGTTTGTGCCAGTTTGGCAGGTTTGCATTGCAACTTTTGCTTGTAGACAGGCCATAGTCTTTTGATCACAATTCTGGCTGCAAGAAGCTACTTGCTCTGTCTCTGTGCAGACGAGGCCTATGGGTCATGGGTAATCATGTGCTAGCTAACATTTTAACTAACCACGTTTTTAAACAGTAATGTAAACAGGGGTTAACACCTTTCAAACCCTGTTCTTGTCCAGTCCTAAAAAAAAGAAGCCCAGGGTTGGTCAAGAACATTCTTGCCAAAAGTATCATCTCTGCCCCATGAGAGTTACAATGTGATAGCTCACACACATTTACATGGGACCTACATTTTGCTCTGTACTAGAGCACAACCCAGCTACATGTCATTGAAGGAATTATCAGTACAATTCAGTGACTCAGCCAGCAATGGGAGCTCCATAAGGAGTAGCCCAGACAGCAACAAGCATTCAGTCATCACTGCTGGCTACCACAGCAAAACAAAGGTTTGTGCATACATCACATCAGAGCAGTCCCGCTGACTTCAGATGTGAATAACCACCCGGGCTGCCCAATCTGGCCTTAATGTTGCGATGACTTTTGACACCTGTGGGTATGATAGAGCCAGCCCAGCTATGTGAGAGTGAAGTGGAGTCTGTTCCGGCTCATCCAGGAACAGCACAACTAATTACATTCTGCCGTCATCACCTCCTGGAAGACCTGCAGAATGGGCAATGTAGCTAGAAAGCTCCCAGCAGCACTTTTGCATCCACACTAGTTTGTTGGGTACCAGACCCATTTGCCTGGTGAAGTGTGAGCATTTGCTCTGCAATGGGTGGGCACAAGACACAGAGGGCTCCTGGGTGCCATATTCACAGGCCATATTTCAAAGCAGAAATGCATGTTAAGCCTCTCCCTTATGCAGATAACTGTTCACATTTGACCTCACAGGTCCTACCCCTCCCTCTCCACTCCCGTTCTTGCACCCGACTCATAAAACCTCTTTTTCAAACTCCTTTTCAGAAACAGATGTTTCAGGAGCGAAGTGGGCGTATGCTCCAGGCCTTGTCACCGAGGCAGAGCCCCACCAGCAGCCCAACGCGCGGCCGCTCTCCATCCCGCTCTCCTTCGCCACCATCGCCCTGGTTGTTCAATAAAGCCTCACCCCCTACCTCTCCGAAAGCAGCCTCGGCCTCCGTCAGCAGCATGAGCGAAGGCGATGAAGATGAGAAGTAAAGGAAAACTATTTAAATTTTTTTAAAAAGACACCAACGCTCATATAACCTACCAGTGGCTGGGTGGGGAGGGACCACATCCAGCTGTTTCTGACAGAAGCAAGTGCACTCTAGGAAAAGGCATTGCAAGGGATGAGATCTCAGCAACAGCTCACCCTGGCCTCATGTCCTCTTGGGGCTCACACACACCCGGACAACTAACTGACACATGAAACCTTGGAGCAAATACTGGTCACTACTCGCTGGCACCAGGCAAGAGACTTGGGGGCATTTGCACTGATAGAGGAATAGTCAGCCTCTGAGCCAGACTGAATGAGCAGGTGCGCAGCATGCACCTAGCATGACCTGGTGATATTAGGGGCTTGGTCTCATACAGTCATCCACTCCCTGCCCACCCTTCCAAAGAAAGTGTCCTGATTTTCACACTTGCTACTTGCTCTCAGCTAGCCCTGAGCCATGCCAGAACAACGAGGTACCTTGCCACAGCGTCAAAACATTTCTTCAGGCCAGGAAATGTGTGGTGTCTTTCAAAATTTTAAAAAAAATAAATAAATAAAGCTTAATCATGCCAGTGGAATGGGGATCTGGCTAGTTGGCACTGGAGAGACCTTGAAGAGATTAGGCGTAATGACTGTTGGCTGGCCAGGCCTTTGTCAGGGCATGTTCAAATGTTAATATAGTGTGAATCCCCTTTGCTTTAGCCAATTTCACTCCTTGTTCCTAGTGCCTCAGAAGCCACCTGTTATGTTCTGGTTTTCTTTGCCAGGTGGCTTTGAAGGTTCTGGCATAGAACAGCGAATGGCCCGGCTGGGATTTCTTGTCGGGGGAAAAATATTTTAATGATTTGGGCTATTTTAGTGAACACCTTAAGAACACAAAAGCACCAAAGCCCCTAAGCAAGATATCTCCTGGCATTTACCATACCTTTGGAAATATCATTTGTCAACTGTCTATGCAACAGCGTTTCTCCCCATCCCAAGTATCAGTCTTAAAGCTTTTGGCGCACTTCTAACCAAGATGAAAGCATGTACACATTGTACGTTCTTTTCCGATACATGCATGTGCACTTCCATGGATATGCATTTCCAGTCTGGAATCTAGAAAGCTGCCTGCTGGCAACTGCCCTTAATACAGCCAAATATGGGGAGCCCAACTGGAAAATAATGGAAACTTTATACTTTATACATAGACTTGAATGCTGAGGTTTCCCCTCATTCCCTCAGAGCATCCTCATATCCCTAATGGAGCCACAAAACTTCAACTTTTCTCTTCCTTTTTACACTCATGTTGAAATCACATCCTTTCAACTAAGCCTGAGATGATATTTCCCTCATACTCCACCTATGCCAGAGCAGCAGCCACGAGGGGGAGGTAGGGGCAGCTGCTGGATCGTGAGACATGTGGCACTGTGGCTGGCTGAACTACCTCCCATAAGACTCCTGCGTTCCTCCCATCCTGGAAAATGAGCTTAGACACCGAACACCAGACAGTGCTACAGAGAAATGAGCCTCTGCACCTTCTTCTGGAGCAGCAGTCCCCAAAGTGTGGGGCACACTCCTAGCATGGCAACATTTAGGGTGTCTGGAGCTTGTACCTGGGCCAACATCCACAAGAACAGGGAGTGCTCCCACTCAGTTCTGCTCCCACTCCAAGCTATGGCCCAGTCTCCGTCCTACCCCGACCACATCCCCCACTCCCAGAGCCAAAGGGGTACGGACAGAGATTGAGGGGTATGAGGTAAAAAGTGTGGGAACCATTGCTATAGAGGCTGCTGCACTGGCCTTGTATTCTTACTTGCCCTGCTGGCGTGTCACGTGTTTCTCCATCCAGTCCACTGAGCATTTGGGCACCAATCAGCCAGGCATACTAAGCTGCAATCAATTCCACATTACAGCCTGCACGGCAGCTAGAACAAGGGGCAACAGTAGGAAAGATCTGCGGGTTCCACTTGTTTCCTTATTGGTATGAGTGCAGCACAGCGTGTAAGTGACTGCAGAGTTTAGCATTCTTCATGATGTTGGTTTCCTGTACAGAGAGAACACAGCTCCAGTTGGGAGCAGAGAGAAGCAGGGGGACTAAAAAGGATGAGACAGCACCCAGCAAAAGAAGAGGACCCTGCCCCAGCACATGAAGAACTTGGTCACATTTCAGAGACACCCCAAGAATAACAGTTGGGGGGGAAGGGAAGGTGTTAGTATGTAAACGTACAGTGCGTGTCTGTGTGTAGCAAGGAATTGGGAGCAGCTACAATCCCTTGCCGTGCAGCGTTAGGTATTATTAGTAGTGAACCCCACCCCCAGCAGTGCCTATGTGGACAATTGAAGGACCCTAGCACCAAGCCCCCAACCCAACAATGTGTTTTTTTCCCTACGAAAAAACACTTTATCCACCCAGCAAGGCCTAGCTGACGTCTAACATGCCACCTCAGCCAGGCCCTTATCTGACTCGCTCTCCAGGAGACATGTTCTTGCTACATAAATGGTTTTCTGGAGACACAACCAGTCCCTTTAAAAATTTGCAACAGGCTGCTATCTTGGTACCAGGGGCACTCACTGCTTCTTTCACTAGTAAAAGTGACAAGAGGGATGACTAGCTGTTGGCTGCCGCCTGCTACGTGAGAGAGGATACTGTGATTAAAAACTTCCTGTCCCCCCGAGGAAGCCAGCTATTATAATTTCATCCCTAGGGTGTGCTTGCTTGTTCTTCTGATTGCTCCACATCTCAGTGTCTCCATCACAAACTGCTCCTCCACAGTGAGAAGTCTGCTCTCTATGGTGCTGTTTATTCCAACAACCCCCGTGCAAATGAGAGGGAGAAGGTGAGGGCTGGGATGGGGGTGGGGGTTGTTTTGAAAACAATGCCCTCTCGTCAGCAAAGTTTTGAAGGAAAATGAACATGCTTGGCTCAGAATGGCAAACGGGAGAGACACCAGAATGACTTCATTTTCACCATCGCTATCCCTCCCAAAGTGACATGTGGTTTACTGAGCAACAAAGCCATATACCTGTACCAGACATCTTGTCTCCGTTTAGGATAAGACTAAACATGAGCGCCTGTTCTCCTGGTATGGATCCTAACTACCTTCTGTGCACAGTCTCTACCATGCACAGAGAAGACAGCCAACCTCCTCACCACCTTTGGGCATACAGATGATTATTTGCACTTTTTGGTCATAGGTGGGTTTCATTTTTTATTTTTAACAACTGTTGCTTTATTGTGTTCTTATTTATAAGCCCAAGCTCCATGGGGGGAAATAAATGAAATTCAACAGATAGTGCAGCTTGCTCTCTTTATTTTACTATGGCTTTGCCAATCATTACAATAATGTTCTTGAATAACAGTAAGTCTCATTGTTCTAGTCTCATTGGCTCCCCTTTCTCTACAGACCACAATAAGCAGCACAGGCAGCCATTCCATCCTATCCAAACCTCTTCTATTAAACTCATCGACTTCCCAATCATCTCCTAGCACCTACTCTCCAACTCTCCTCCCAACCTTGGCTTTGCAGTTTGTGCCTTGTGTTTCCTGTATGCCAAGCAGCAGCTTTCACCACCTTCAGACCCATTTCTTCCAGGAGTTTGTCCTGTGTGGCTGTCTTCACTGTCCTGTGTGGCTGTCTTCACTATCCCTCCCTCCCTCATCTGCATTGCTGTCCATCTTTTTGTCTTGTCCAGCTGGGCTGTAAACTTTTCAGGGCAAAGAACAGCCATCTCTGCTCTGCTCTTTGTAAATCACTGGATTCACTTGTGGCTTTTTAGTAACATGTAACTAATTATATTAGTTAGAAGGCACCTATAATTAGGAAGCGTGTAACCTTTTAATTAATTCCCAAATACTATCACCTTGTTAAAGATAAGGGCACAATAAAACCTAATTTTGTTTTCAGGTTCAAGCTTCTAAGTCAGTTACAGAAAAGGTATTTAGGAGAGGACCACTAGGAAACACGTTAGTGATAGAACTGAACTTTATTCAAAAGAAATGTGGTTAGTTAGCCAGAAAGGCATGCAATTACCACGTACAAATATCCACACTCACAGATGAAATGGTGTATCAATGGGTGATCTATGCAGTGACAAAAATGAAGTACAAGCTTGTAACCCTGGAACACTCCACTTAGGATGGCATTCCCGTGCAACTGGCAGAACTACTTTTCACACTGCATTATATTACTAATTAACATTAAACTCTCTCCTATTATATTTCCACCACCTTCTTATTGGCTCTTTACATTACACATTATTGATATTAACATATTCATCAACGTCCTTCCCACAGTATCAGTATAGGTAGCATTTTAATAAAACATCTACAATTCTTAAGAAATACTCATTAAAAACTTGTGTAAACTAGTTATAACCACTAGTTAAAACATAATGGTCATGTCTTGGCTAATTCTTACATTCCCTTAATTCACTGTCTCCAACTTATTGTTAACTTCTCACACTAGTAACTTCTTTTCCCCACATTCCTCTATGCTTGGGTCTCACAATAAACGTCTACTTACTTAAGAGTTGATAGGCTACAGGTGCAATGAATTTAAAAGAAGGCAACTCTAAAATGTCTGGGTATTTATAGATAAATTGTATGCTCTAACAAAAATAAAGATTTAAAAAAAATAATTGAAAATTACCAAGAAACAAATGATTTAAAGGCAAAAGTCCCTACCCAGAATCAGCCTTGATTAAACAATTTTTTTTTAAAAAAAAACCATAATGATTTTCACTCAGCAGATCTGCTACCTGTAGTGTTAACTCAGGTCTGCTAACAGTAGTGACCAAAATAAACCTTATTACTTTTATTCACGGAGCCCTGTAGAGCCCCAGCTCTGGGAGAGGGAGCTGCATTCTTAATTCTTCAATACATGTGTTACACAAATGTCATTTACAAACTTCTGACCCCACTGCTTTTAAGACACCAAGGTTTTGAAGACAACAGGCTTCATTCTTTCAATTATACCAGTATGAACTGGGAAGTTTTACAAACCCCAGCCCTGTAACTGAACAGGCACCGAAGGCTATCCTTTGCCCCAACATATATGGATTAGCTCCTCCAGTGTCAGCTAGGTACCAAAATAAGTTAATGAGATACAAACCAGTTGTAAGCTTTTTAAAGAGTGTTTACACAGGAGTTTACCCTTTACGCCTCAGTCTAAACAAAGACATTAATTATCTTACCCATTACAAAGATAGCCTCCCCAATGAACACCTCTAATATCATTAGCTCACATTTACCTCTCCCCCCTCATTCCCCTTCTGTTCTGAAATTTGATTTGTCCTTTTCATATGTATTCATTTTTTTTATTGTATTCTTTGGTATATATGGTCATTCCAATTTTCTTCCACTATTTGATCTGAGGAAGTGGGTCTGGCCCACGAAAGCTCATCATCTAATAAACCATCTTGTTAGTCTTTAAAGTGCTACATAGTCCTGTATTTTGTTTCAGCTACACCAGACTAACACGGCTACATTTCTAACACTATTCTACACAGGAGTGAGCTTGCTTATGTAAATCTATTTACAATGGATTTTATTTAAATTGGTGCACCTTAGAGGTTAATAATGGAGAGCGGGATGGATAAAATGAAACATGCTCTCACAAGAAGCAGAAACCTGGAAAGTAGTTCTAGGGAAAAGCACGGATTGAAGGGGTGAGCAGATTTACAGATTGTGTAAAGTTAATGGTAATTTGTCTGAATAAGGAGAGATCATATATCACAGCACTGAGAAGAGAGTTCTTTTCTACACAGTTCTGGTGTGACATCTAAAATACAGTGTTCAGTTCTGCATATATTTGTATAACAGACATTTAAATACATACAATATCTAATATAAACAGACACCCATTAGAACAGGGATGGGCAATAATTTTTAACCAGGGGCCACTACAGATATTTTTGAAGTCCCAGAAAGGGCGGGATCTCAGGCAGAAGGGGCGGGGACAGGACACTTCCATGCTTCCTCACCCACAGACCCTGATTGCCCCCCCCCCCCAGAAAGAACCATCAGCTGTTCTGAACAGCGGGCAGTTCCTTCTAGGTACCCATGCCCCTGGTGGTGGGAGGACATTTCATGTCCTGCCCCCAGGTCAGTCAGGACCTGGGGAGCATGTGAAGTCTCTCACTCCCTAGCACCGTGTTGCAAGGGAGCACCACGCTTAGCCTTAACCCCCAGCTGAGCAGCAGCTAGTGGTTGACTAAGGGCTGAGCCCCGTGCAGGGCAGGGGAAGACTTCGTGCGCTCCCCCTGCCCCCAAGCCCTGATTGGCCTGGGGGCAGGGAGAGCGCGTGGAGTCTCTTCCCATCATTCCCTGCAAGGAGCATGCGGTGCATCTAAGCACCATGTTCTCCTTGCAGGGCGGGGGCAAGGCAGGAGATTTCACACACTTCCCCTCCCCCTGCCTCCAGGTCTTGATTGGCTTGGGGGTGGGGGAAAGCAGCAAGGCCTCCATGGGCCAGATCATCTTTCTTGGTGGGCCCAATCTAACCTGCAAAGGCCCTTTTGCCCACCCCTGCATTAGAAGGATGGTTGGTTGAACTTACCATGAAACATTTTATAGATGAGCTAAACATACAACATGAGTAGGTGCAACTGTGTGGAGACAATAATAGCTATTTACAAATATTCTAGGGGCTGAGTACCAATGAAAGGAAGAACATATTTAGAGTAGAGCAAAGGCGGTACGGATAGGAAGAAGGTCATACAAGGAATTCCAGGAGATAAACATTTAAAACTAAAGTAGCCAAACATAAGCCTGAATACTGCAGGGAGTAATCCTGAATTGGCAGAGGTACAGACAGACTCAATGATCTCCCAGAGCTTTCTGCCATCTCCAAAGCATATTGTTATTTTAAATGAATTCTAGGCATACAGCCAGACTGATCTCCCCTTGTTGCTCCATCTGCTCTTTCCTTTTAGTCTTGTTATATTCTCTTCCCACACGTTTTCATGTTAATGTGGGCCCAATCCTGCTTCCTTCAAGATTTCGTTAAGATAAATCTCAATTTTGCCTACATAGAGATGCAGGATTAGGTCTAATACAGTTCTCTTCTCTACACCCCCATTTCCCTTTCTTTTTCTTGCTCTAGGTGTCTCTTTAGCTGTGTTTCCGCCAGTTATCCCCCTTTTCTGTACTCCCCTTTTTACACTGAAATGCTCTAAATTGGTTTAAGAAATCATCCTCATGGTTTTGCCACTGCAAAGTTCTGTCCTCTCTATCATGAAGCCCAGTCATTCACATGGGGGAGATACTGCTGCTGGCTGTGCTGAACTAGAAGCAACAGGGCAGCCAGCCATATGAGTCACTGCAAGAGCAACTCCAGCAAGAGGATATTAAACCAACATCCCTAAGAGGCAATTTCTAGAACAGAATCATTCTTCTGGGTAGACCACAAAAATATCAGCAACAGCCTCCCAACTCTCCTTCCAGAGATGGTGTGGTCAAGATTTAAACTCCCTTGTTACAATGTAGTCCTGGGCTTTACTTTCTTTCAGTCGTACATCTTGATACACTTATCCACTTCAGTGGAGTGACACCTGTAGAACAGAGCAGATTTAAACAGCTTCAAGTTCCATTGCTTCATGAACAAACTACCTGAGAGCTGATTTTTGATACATGATGCAGTTTTCACGTGAATGTGGAGCGGGTTGGTAATGTTTTCCAGGCAAACTTTTCACTCTTGTTAGCAGGGCAGCTGAGCATTTGCATTGATACAGGAAGGGGCTTCAATGCTGCTGGCTTGCAAATGCAGTCAAGTGGAAGACACCACCAGGTAGAGACAAGTTGAAAAGCAGCTCTCACTTAATTCAGCACAGACCTAAGTTACAGGAAATTCTGACTTTAAATGCATTATAAACGGACTTCCACCCATACGGCTCCCCTAGGGCAGGAGGAGGAAGTTACTTAGCTGTGACTAGAGGTTCTTCCAGAAGCATGGCCCCTAGCTGTATTCCACTGAGTATTATGTGCATCACCTAGAGCTTTTAAAAGTAGTGGTGTCTGCTGGTCCATGCATGTGCATTTGTACTGCTTCATGGTTTTGCCGAGGCCATAAAGGGCAGGTGGACCAACTGTGCGTTCAGTTCCTTCTCCAGTGCAAACCACCAGATCCACAGCAGAGGGGAGGGAATATAGGGGAACCACAAATCTCGAAGAACCTCCAGTTATAGATAAGTAACCGTCTCCTCCTTCAAGTGATGGTCCCTATTGTATTCAACTGTGTGTGAGTGGCGAGCAGTATTTAGCTAGAAGGAGGATGCAAGGAAGATGATGGAGCCATGGCAGAGGACAAGCGTGCTGAATGAGACATTCTGTTGCAGATGTTGTGCAGGGCATAACAGAAAGGTGCGTACTGAACTCCACCTGGCTGCCCTATACGTGTCCATGTGCATCACATTGTGAAGTGTGGCTGGAACTAATACGTGGGCTCTCATGGACTCAACTCATAACCCCAGCGGGTGGAAACCATCCCTATAATTGGTAACAGAGCTCAATGTACCCCCACAATCACCTTGAAATTCGGAACGGAGAGGTCCTGCCTGTTAATACTTTCTGCAACAGTGACAAATAACCTAGGGAACTTCCTCAACAGCTTCATCCTCAGCAGGTAAAAGCTCAGGGCTCTACAGACACGGAGGTAACGAAGGTGCCCTTCTTCTGCTGAGGTGTGCAGCTTCAGGAAGAAGGCAGGCAAGCGTCTAGGTTACTTGAGGTGAAAGCAAGAAATCACTTTTGGCAGAAGCTTGGAGTGCAAATTCAGGGAAATGTACCTATGTAATGTGAAAAGGGGGTGAAGGAATTGCCATCCTGGTCTCCAATTTGCCCACCCTTCCCACAGGGGTAGCAAGTGCCTGGAAAGTGACCTCCATGGAAATAAGAGAAAGGGAGCATCAGACCAGAGGTTTTAAGGGCAATTTCATCAGTGCTGGGAGGATAAGTTTGAGGTCCCATTGTGGTCATCAGTTGAACAGGTGAATGTGTCTTTATGAGGTCCTTTCAGACTAGAACAGCCAACAAGTAGAAAGCACTGGTAACTGCTACATGCAACTCAGTGGAGATGAGGGTGATCCCTGATGCCTTTAGGGATAGGAGATAGTCCAAGAAGAGAGGAATCCTATAGCTTCTGGTGCAAGGCCTTTCTGTGGGACCCAGAAGGTGAAGTGTTTTCATTTGGCTTTGTAGGCTCACCGCATGGACTCCTTCTTGCTATTCGAGAGGACATCTCATGTCACTGACCAGCATTCCCAGCTAGCAAAGATGTCCATCCAAACACGAGTCTCTCATAGAACACTAGAACTGGAAGGGACCTTGAGAGATCATCAAGTCCAGTCCTCTGCCCACACGCCAGGACCAAGCACCATCTAGATCATCCCTGATAGATGTCTATCCAGCCTGCTCTTAAATATCTCCAGTGATGGAGATTCCACAGCCTCTCTAGGCAACTTATTCCAGTGTTTAACCACCCTGACAGTTAGGAAGTTTTTCTTAATGTCCAACCTAATCCTCCCCACTCAGTCTTCTCTTTTATAAACTAAACAAGCCCAATTCTTTCTGTCTTCCCTCATAGGTCCCGTTTTCTAGACCTTTAATCATTTTTCATGCTTTTCTCTGGACCTTCTCCAATTTCTCCACATCTTTCTTGGAATGTGGTGCCCAGAACTGGACACAATACTCCAACTGAGGCCGAATCAGTAGAG